AAAGACTTGACTTTACCTCCCAATTCCAGTTTATAGTCCATCATAAATGGGAAGTCAAGACCGCAGGAACTGAAAACAGCCTGTGACAGTACATACACAGTCAGGAGCAGTGAGAAATGAATGCATGCATGCATATTATGCAGCTCAGTTTCTCCACTATAACACCATCCTTGAACCAAAACTACAGAATGATGCCACCCACAGTGGGCTGGGGCTTCCCACATCAGTGAACATAACCAAGGAAATTCCCCACAATTTGCCCATAGGACAACCTGAATGACACCATCCTTCATTGAGGCCTTCTTCCCAGGTAATTCTGAATTTCTACCAATTAAAAGTAACCATCACAGCATTTTGTATAGCAGGACCAGTGGCAGTGGAAGCTCTCCCCAAATAGCACATGACTCTTCTAATCATTTTTTTCAGCGTTGGGGATGGATCCTAGGAGTCCCCCATGCAACACAGACCCCAGGCCCTTTTCAGATTATGTATATGAGAACACACACACACACACACACACACACACACACACGTCTTTTAGAGACAGGATCTCCCTGTAGTACCAGCTGGCCTTGAACTCACAGAGATCTGCCTGCCTCTACCTTCCAAGTGCCGGGATTAAAGACATGTGCCACTATGCCTGGAGAGATTTTATATATTTTTAAAAGGCTGAGACAGGTTCTCACTGCACACCTCAAGCTACCCTTGTTCACACTGTGTAGCCCAGATAGAGTGCAAACTTCCATGCTTCCTGCCTCAGCCTCTTGAGCAGCTGAGATTAGATGCATGCACCATAACAGTCAACTATAAAACTTTTTAAATTTGAAATTTTTATTTTCTGTGTGCATGTATGTGTATGCATGAGTATGTGTGTGTGGTATGCATGTGTATGTATTGGGTTTCTTTTAACTGTGGTGAATACGTATGTATATACATGCACATGCAGGTGGGTGTGTGGAGGCTGGAAGTCAGTGCTGGAGTGTCGGCCTCTTGTTTCCTGGGAGCTCATCAATTCCACTAAGCTGACTAGCCAATGAGCACCAGGGATCCACCTGTCTCCACTTTCAAATAAATATAGGTATAAACTCCCATGCCTGATAGTGCTGGGGATTTGAATGAAGGTCCTCATGTTTGTGCAGTAAACACTTTAGCAGCTGAGCCATCTCTCCAACCCCTACATTTCATTTTTTTAACTTTTGAGACCAGGTCTTACTATGTAGCTAGGCCAGGCTTGCCTCAAACTTGTGACAATCCTCCTGTCTCCAGCACCCAAATGCCGGGATTATAGGCATAAATCACCACACCCAGCTTTACATTTTGTGCTAGATAGCTTTGGTGTCAACTTGACACACCTGGGTTGAGGGAGCCTCAACTGGGGAATTGCCTCCATTAAACTGGCCTGTGGCCATGTCTGTGAGGTATTGATTATTGTGTGATGTGGGAGGGTCCAGCCCACTGTGGGTGGTGTCACCCCTGTGGCCTGTGTTGACATAAGAAAGCAGGCTGAGCAGGGGCCAGGGGAGCAAGCCAGTAAGCAGCATTCCTCCATGGCCTGTGATCCAGCTCCTGCCTCCAGGTTCCGGCCCTGAGTTCCTATCTTGGGCTCCCTGATGAACTGCGACCTGGAAGATGTAAGATAAATAAACACTTTCTTCCCCAAGTTGGTAGTGGTCAGAGTGTTTTGTCACAGCAATGAAGAAACAAACTGGGACACACTTTATTTTTATTTTTGTTATTGTACTTTAAGCCTGGCATCAGGTATGTACCTATAACCCTAGCATTCAAGCCAAGGTAGGAATAACACAAGTTCCAGACTAACCTGGGCTATACAGTAAGACCTGGTCTCAAAAAATACCCACCCCCCAAAAATTTAGTGCTATAAGCCTGAGGATATAGCTCAGTGATAGAATGAATACCTAGAATGTGAGAGGCTCTGGATTTGATCCCTAATACCAAACACAAAAAGTAATAAACAAAATAAAAATTAGTCCTTTAAATGGCTTGGGGGGGGTGGCATGTAAAGTTAATGTTTACTAGTCCAGCTGCAGAAGATGAAGGAGTTAAGGATCGTTCATAGCTGCCATATGGGTGCTGGGAATCGAACCCGGGTCCTCTTCAAGAGCAGTTGGTGCTATTAACTGCTGAGCAATCTCTCTAGCCCCAAAGAGTTATGGAACTTTTAACAGGTGTGGCCATGCTGGAGGAAGAACATCAGTAGGGGTGGGCTTTGAGAATATGTAGTTTGCCCACTTCCAGGGTGGCTCTCTCTGCTTCCTGTGCTTGCTTGAAGATGTGAGTCCTCAGCTTTCTGCTCCCACCACCTCCTGCCATGCCTCCTCCACCATGATGGACTCTCCCTCTGGAACCATGAGCCAAATAAACTCTTCCTTCTGTAAGTGGCCTTGGTCATTGTGTTTTATCATAGCAACAGAAATGTAACTAATATACTTTTCTAACCACCTAAGCACTATTTATTAACCATTACTGAGCAGACCCAGCTTCCTGAACACAAACTTGAGGAAGCAACCTAGCTTCTTGCCTAGCCAAGCTCTTCAACAATTCTAAGACTGCTGCCTGGACTCTGGAAGATTCTACTAAGAATACAGAGTTCCTAAACTGTGAGGGAGACGTGGAGCTCATGAGGAAATGCTAGAACCTTCTCTACTGCACAAGGTATGAGAGACAATTCACCTTGTGTCTAAAACAGTGAGATTTTTCCCCCTCTGGCCAAGAGGGTAGAAACATTTACCTTTACCCAAGAGGGCCTCAGAATTTCCCTTACCTGGTCTACACGTCTTCTGCTCTTTCCAAGGGACCTCACTACTTCCAACTTTGATGAAGGCTTCCCGAAGAGTCAAAAGGGACCTCAGACCTTCCATTTGCCCAATGTGGGCTTAGACATTGAATTGAATAAAGTCATAAAGCCGTTATGAAGTAGGCAGGCTTCAGATCTTCCTCTTCCTATTCAAAAGGACCCAGTCCTAGTCAGTCTGCCAAACATGGACCTTAGACCCACACCCTCAGCACCAGAGACCCTCAGACCTCATGTTCTAGCCTCTTTGAACAAAGGGACTTCTATCACTGCCTTTCTGCTAAATGAATGCTTAAAGGACCTGCAGACAAGGGAGGGGGTGTCTCACTTCTACTCTCTTCTCCCCGGGGCTTCAGTTCTACACACTCTGACCAGGGGAGTTCCAGAGCATCCCCTTCTGTCCATGAGGGCTTCAGACCTACCTCCTACCTAAAAGGCCCTAATACCTTCCTCCTCTGACCTGGGTGGTCAGGAAAATGCCTTTGTGAAGAGTCCTCAGACAATTCAGGATTGCTGTCACAGGGCAGAAGAGTAAAAATCTAAGCCCCAAACTTTGATCATCTACCTTCAAAGTGATCACCAGAAAAGGAGAGACCCCCAACTTCCATGTCACACTTGTGCAGCTGAACAAAAATTTGTGTAGAGCACAGATCCAGGGACTGCATCCAATGTAGTGGAACTCTCAGACTGCTGCCAAGATGCCCGAGTCCCTAAAGATATGGTTATTGTAGACTATAAGGAAGAGTTGGAAGCTAATGAGGTATCGCCTTGACCTTCTTCCCTCTGCACAAGGGAGCTGGAGACCTTCATTTTCTACCTTCAGGGTTCTAGGACCTTACTGTTCTGCCTGACATCTTTCCCTCTGAAAAAAAAATGTGGCCTTAAACTTCCCCACCCTTTTCTGCTCCTCACATCTACCCCTCTCACCAACAGGGGCTTTGCAGTAATAGGCCCCCAGGATAAGGAGACACCCATAAACTTCGGCTTTAGCTCCCAGCACCAAAGAGTAACAGAGCCTGAAACCCAAGTCACCTGCCTTTAATTCAGTCACCAGAAATGGAATGGCCCCATCATTTCTGCCCAGAGCTAGCTATACACAAACTTGAGGTGACAAAAGCTGGTACAGTGAAAAATGCTGTTAGAAGAATGCTGAGATTGCACCTGGTCACCTGACGAGTCAGTTCAAGAGATGGATGTCGTAAACTATGAAGCATTAGAAGCTGATGAGCAGTGCTGGCATCTTTCTCCACTGCACAAGGTACCAGGGACATTGACCTTCTACCCAAGGGGGTTATGGGACTTTCCCCTCTGCCCTAGGAGGTTCAGAACATTACCTTTGTCCAACAGAGCTTCAGAGTTTCCCTCTCTCACAAGGGTGCCAGAGTGTCCTCTCTAAATTATCTGACTCCCGTCCTCTTTGTGGAAGAGAACATTAAACTTATCTCCTAAGACAAAGCCTGCCTCAAACTTTCCCTAGTTGCTCTACAAGGGAAATGCTTAGTCATTAAAACTGTGTGAAAGGGCCCTCACACCTCCACTTTCTTATCAAATGGGCCTCAGACATTCCCCTTCTTGCTAAAGGGGCCTCAGACCAAGGGGGTCTTACAACATTCCCTCTGCACAAGAAAGCATCACAACTTTCCACCGGGCCCAAGTTGAGGGTGGGGTCCCTGATCTACCTCCTTTGACCAAGGGGACTTCAAGCATTCCCTTTCTGCTCAAAGAGATCACCAGGAGGTCTCAGACACTGACCTGTTTTCAAGGGGGCTTCAGGCATACCCCTCTGCATGGTGGCCTTAGAGCTTCCCCTTCTATGGTAGCCTCCCACTGGGACATTGTACGGCCTTGCTGGCCAACTTAGAGGCGGGGCTTGTGGGTGGCAGCCAGCCTGCTTCAGGCCTGTGCTGCTTCCTGATCTGTGGATACCCAAACATGGCACCTCACAGTCGTCATCACAGATGGAACCCAAGCCACCATGCCTTCTTCACCTTGATGGGACTGTACGGTCTCAAACCATAAGCCAAAATAAATCTTCTCTCCCTTAAGTTCTTTTGTCAGATACACTGTCATGGCAATGAGAAAAGTAATCCACAATGTTCTCTCTTCATTTGTCAGTGGGCATCGGAATTACCAAACAAGTTGGGGGAGGGGACAAAAAACAAGAGAACAAAAAAACATAGGCACTATGTTCTCTAATATCAAAATAGAGCGATTTATTCAAGACACTGAATATGATCCTTTGATTCTCTCTTGAAACAAATGAGCTACGAAACACAAGGTGATTCTTTTTTTTTGCCTCCAAGAGCGTGAAGGGTGAGTGGGAGTTGGGGGTAGAGGACAAGGGGTGGGGGTCAATGTTGCTTAACAGAACAAGGAAATTGTTGACAGAGAACCACGTCTGGCTGTACGTCTGACACAGACAATAAAAACTGCAGAAGCCAGAATTCAAAACTTCAGGGAGTTGCAAAAGAGACATTTCTGCATTTGATAGGAAATAGAATGAAAAAGTTGAATGAAAGGTTTGAAAAGAGAAAAACAAGGAACTAAAGCAGATCCTTAAATTTGACAAAGTGCACTTCACTTGGCTCCATGGTCTATGTTTTAGTCAGACAGAACAAAAAGTCAAGTCCTACAGTGTCATGTGGGGTCAGAGAGCTGAACCCTATGATATCCATCTGGCCCTTCGGTCCCCTACAGGTAGCATTCTGGATGTGCTGGGCACATTGCATGGTCACTTCAAACCCAAGGAAAGATCCCAGAAAGGACTGTTATATGGCTACACTGCTTTCAAGGCTGAATTTGGTCACAAGACGTAAGCAATTCTCACAATGTTTTAGGAGTTGTAAACAATGTTAAGCAACAGCATTACACATGGGCTGCCACCTTGAGCACAAAGATGATGCACCAGCTGTCTGGCAGCAGGGCAAATGATGGCATGCAAATGCTGGCCTCTCCAGAAACACTTGTGGATTGAGCTGTTTAATGGAGATAACTTGAGGGAAGTGGGTTGCATTCTCCTGCTTGGTCCCCTTGTGGCCGGCACTAAGTCCCTTTCCAAGGCTAGATGGGAGGGCAAGAAAGTGGGGGGTCTTTAGGCTTCTTCTTGTGCAGGCCGAACCTTTCTGTCCTGGTCTCACAACTCTGTACTCTAACCTAACAATTCTTATGTGGCTTAGATTCATCTTTGGGGTCCAGCCTGGACACCCAGGGATTGTCTAGTGAGCCCCTTGCGTGCCATCGACCCATCACCATCCCATAACAATGTGGAGCTTGTCAAATGCAAGCCATGCTCTCACTTTTGGTAGCTGATCTTCTACAGAAATGAAGAGACTTTTATTTGGGGAACAAAGATAGTATTTATCTGGACTCTTAAAACCTATATTCCAAATCTTAAATGTTCTCAGAGTACGAAGCTTCATGTCCACTTTTTCAGAGATCCCTGTTGTGATCAAATTTACTCTGGAGACTACAGAGCACTCTGGCTTCTTTGCTGTTTAGGTGCCAGAGCGCAAACTCAGTAACACAGCACTTGGTCTTTTGGGGCTCGCATAATTCACATGTCCAAGTGGAGGCCAACTCGTGTTGCTGGTCCTGGCATTTTCTGCTGCGTAAGAAGTGCCTGGCCTTCCCTATTAGTCGATTTTTGCCTCCGCATCCACATGTGTTCATAATGGCTGCCTCAGCTTCAGACTGAACTCTGCACACTGCCACCCTACTTGCAACCCCAATGACTTGGACCAGTCCCCTTCTGGTCTATCTCCCATTGCTAATTTAATAAACAGGTCAGTGTCAAATTATGACAAGAAGTAAGCAAAGGTCACCTGAGTCAACGATGACTAGCTTTGCTAGGAACACAAAGCCTTTAGTTCTTTACAAATGGTTAAAAACAACAACAACAAAAAGATTATTTAAAAAATAACCTTTGTCCTAGTTTCCTGTGAAAGAAATTGTAGAGGGCAGAAAATGAATTAGCGACATTCTACCAGGGTCATAATTCATTTTCAAGATTGAAAGTGTCCTCTGATCCTCATTTAGTGTCTTTACTAGACTTAATGACAGTGGGATCTTCGGGTCAGTTCTGCATATGCCTCACCAAGCCTGATAAGTGCCCATCTGTAGCGACACTGCTCTGAGAAAGAAAAGACGTAGCAGGCAAGTGCCATGGAGCCACACCGTCTTGGGCCGGCTTCTTCACTGTGTTCCTGCTGCTTGGTAAAATACACACTGAACAATGCAGCATTCTGCTTGATGCCTAAGCACCAAGCTCTTCCCCACCAGCTGTCAAACAAACCCCTGTTCTTCCATAGGACGCTGCCCAATCCAGGGTTTTCTAACTGCCTTTCATGAAGCTAAAGGGAAAGGGGTAATTAGACACCTCAGACTCTGTGTCTTCTTAGTCTTTTAAATATGAATCACACAAAACTCTCTATGTCTGATGGCCATTTTAGGATTTTATAATCGTTTTAACATAAAAATATTTTTTCCAAAAATATTCCAGGCTCTTTCTCTTATAAGTCTTTTTTTTTCTCCTGTAAAAAGTCCCCCTCCCTGCCTTCTCACATAAAGCACTTACTAAGCTCTGAAAGTGCCCTCTTGGTACCTAAGATGTGAAGCAACTATGAGAAAAGGACAGAGAGTGAGCAAAGGATAGGGGTGGGCTGGAGGGAGGGAGAGTGCTGTCCATCAAAGATCTTTCCATTGTGTCCATGTGTCCATGTCTATGCTGGGCTTCATGAGAAGTGAGACCACACCAGACCAAGGACAACAGCGGAAGGGTAGGGAACAAACCAAACAGTTTCCATCTGAGGCAGAAGGCCCCCAGACCACAGAATTCCAACAAGATAGAAAACCACCAAAGAAAGTTCTAGAAAATACAAAGTGTTGGGATTACAAATTCATACATTTCCTTGGTACAAACTGGTCTTTTGGAGAGCAACTGTAGTATCCAAATTGACAGGAGGGAAAACCTTAAGTGGGAGTTTTTTCCTCCCTTTTGGTTTGTCACAGCATTTTTCTCTTCTTCTTTGCTTTTTCTTTCTTTATTCTTATTTATTTGGCACAGCTTTTTGTTCTTCCTTCCATGTTCAGTCATCAGAGCCTGTTGTGGATGGAAACCAAACCATGCACCATGTAGCTGATGGCTTCATCCTTCCCCAGCTGAGCACTCTAGCTGAAAACCATATTCCCCCTGTGATACAACTGTGTGTATGATTTTATATCTATGTTTTAAACTTCCAGATGGAGATTATGAAAAAAAAAAAAGAATCCTGTGGCCAGGGACAAGGTGATTTCCAAGCACACTCAAACACAAGTCAAGTTCACACAGTTTGGAGCTGATCATTGGAAGGATGCTGCAATCCCACACATTCACTGCTGGTCCATTAGAATTCTTTTTTTTTCCTCTCTCTCTATAATATTTTGTGTTTACTTTCGAAGATCTAAAACACAGACCTGGAAGGAAAGATAGAGCGTCTGTTACTTTGAGAGACAACACCTGGTACCTTCAAACAGATGCTGGCAAAGTACAGCCTTTGAACCAAATATGGCTAGCCACTGACCTTCTTATAGTGTCTCTTCCACCTCCTTGAGACAGGGTCTCACTGTGTAGCCCTGGATGAACTGGAATTCACTATGTAGACCAGGCTAGCATGGAACTTACAAAGATCAACCTGCCTCTGCCTCCCAAGTGCTAGGATTAAAGGTGTGTGTCACCACAGCCAGCTTTTCTTATAGTTTTAATAGAACAGAGTCAAGAAAGGCCAGATAATCTCTAGAAACAGTCTAGTTTCTGAAAGGGATCATGCCAGGAACTCAGAGTGACAAAAGCCATCAGCAAGAGTCACAGGCTACATAGATGCCTACATGGTAGGGCAGAAGACAATTTGGTCTAAGGGCATGACCACTGAGATCTGGGACCATGTCAACAACTCACTCCATTCACCAAAATGCTCCTTGCCCTAGGGGTTACTGCAGCCTCAAGTTCAGGGGCAAATTAAACATCCAGATATGCCACTGGACCACAGTGAGGTTCACAAGAAGGCCATCTTATAACAAAGATGCTTGGCCAGGACATGCACAGAGACAGGACAGGGCAATCTCTTCCCCATATACTTGTGATATTTGTGGCCAGACAGTTCTCAGCCACAGTGCAGTGTCCCAGCATTATGGGAGGCTTAGCAGCATCCCTGGGCTCCACCAGCAAGAGGCCAGTGGCATCCTGTACCAAAGTAGTGAGAGAGAACTCAGTATGACTCTGGATACTACCTAAGGTCCTCAGGGGCAGAATCACTGCAGCTGAGAGCATGCAAGTTTACTGATATTCTGGGGCAAAGAGAGTTATTTCCAGATGCAGTACCAACTCAAACAAAAGTGTCCTTCAAACCATACACATCAGGGTGAATACATGTTGTGCGATGAGATCTCCAGGATAGGAATGCTGCACATGGACTTGGATCTCATTCAGGGATAGGCTGCCCAGCAACCCCAACCCCAGCAAAGCAGAGGTGCCACTTACAGAGCCATCAGATGCGCTGGCACCCACTTTGTCTCCTCGAGCATTCCAGCACACCTCAAAGATGCCACCTGTGCCTCGGTAGCTGTGGACGAGACATCCACTCTGCAAAGCAAAGCAAAGCATTTGTCATGGCAACTCAAAGGAGCCCTGAAAACTGGCAGCAATAATAAGGGGCCAGTCTCCACACACCCGTATCTGATGAAGACGCTTTCACGCACACAGAAGTTAAAGAAATTTCCAGAACACTGATGGCTGTGGGTGCAAACTCTCAGACCTGCTACCAATCTACTGTCACCGCATTTCAGTCAAGGCCACGGCTGTTCCCAGCAATGTGTCATGGCACTAGAGTGCACAAGATAGCTGGTTCCTGTGAGGTGAGGTATGCCTGCCAGTTGGGAACCTTTGCATCATGACCTCCTCTTGACCTTTCACTTTCTCTATCCTTCAGTACTGGGTTTGGAATCCAGGGGGTTAGGGTGTTAGGCAAGGGCTCTAGCACTAAGCCACACCCTCTGACTTCCCCAGTGGCTTTGCTGACAGGTTCTTGCGCTCTTATGGCCACTAGAGAATCTTCTTACCAAACCATCTTTTCTTCTCTCCTTCCTAGGGCCAGTCTTCTGGGCTGAGTTCTCCATAAGGGCTCCAGCCCTTTCTCACATCCTATCCTGATTACTATCAAACAACATACCATCCTCTCAGACTATGGAATGAACACAACAACCCCATCTCTCTAACAATTAGAATGCTATATTAATTAGAATGATTATATTACCTGTTAATCAATATTATTACTATTATATTAATTATGATTATATTTAATGATTAAATGCACTAGCATGTCATGAAGCTAAATCTTCAATGTGTTTGGGACATGTGGTTTGGAAGAATAAATGTCTAACATATTCATACTGTGGTATGTGCTAGTTGATGCCAAGTGTTGACAAGTGTCAGAGAGGTAAAGTGGAGGTCTTTGAGACTTAACAAACTGTCAGATGTCCCCCAGTGGCCACCAATTACACATTAGTTTTTACCCCTAGCAATAAAGTGTCTGGCCATACACATATTTACTTACATATATGTATACATGTGTATACATATATATGTATACACACACACACACCACACACACATCCCATTATCAAGCGACAGTAAATACTAGCAAAGGATAATTAAAAATGCATTTAGATAAATATTATTTTCTATTCACATTGAAAAATACAGGGTGATGTGATGTGAATTTGAAAAAGAGGAAGCAAAGAGTATTATGTTTGTTTTTATACTGCGAAGATTAGAATAGACTTTAAGATGTTTCAAAATAACTGATTCTCCCCACTCCCTTCAATATGGACCAAACATACATAGATTTTTTTTCATCATTACTCCCCTAAAAAATTACAGTATAACAAGCGGGCCCGGGTGGCACAGGCCTGCAATCCCAGCTACTCCAGAGACAGAAGGAAGACTCCAAGTTTGAAGCCAGTCTGGGCAACATAAGAGAGTTCCAGGCTAGCCTGAGACACATTAGAGAGACTGTCACAAAATTAAATTTTTAAAAAGGGCTTGGGATGTAGCTCAGTGGGAGAGTGCTTGCCTGCCACAAGGCCCTGGGTTCAAACTAGAAAAAAAATGGGGGGGAACTGAAGAGGTGGCTCAGCCGTTAAGAGTACCAACTGCACTTGCAGAGTACCCAAGTTCTAGTCCCAGCACCCACTGTTGGTGGCTAACAACCTTCCATAACTCCATTTCCAGGGGAACTGACCTCCGCAGGCATTGTACAACACGGGTGTACTTACATACATGCAAGCAATATACTCATACATATAAAATAAATTAAATAAATAAATAAATAGATAGATAGATAAATAAACAAACAA